TGTCTTTGATGTCTTCAGGCTGACGAGGGTCAATGGCAGTTTTATCATCTTGACTATTGTCGATTTGAGGCAAAGCTGGCAATGAATTCGTAACAGGATCCATTTGGTCACCGGTATTTTGAGATTGCGGCTTATCTTGCTGCTCGATTTCAGATTTGTGATTATCTTGCTCGTCGATGAGGAGTTGTTCAGATGACTGTACTGACGCTTCTGTTGGTAATTGTGATGGTTGTTGCGGTTCGGGACGTTGCTGAACATTCTCGTCGCTAGCCTGCGCACCCTCGTCAGAAGTCGACCCAAGCCTTTGAGAACTCAATTGATTGACAGGCTCGATTGAATTCGAATTGTATGCAGTTGGACTTTCGGCTATACCTTTGTCTTGGATAGGTAAAGTTGTTACCGTGCCGTTTTCGTTATTGACCAAAGTAACTTCACTCATTCTCTTTGGATCCTCTTGAATAGATTCTGGTCGATTTTGAACATCGGGATCTTTTAGCTTGGAATAACGTCGATCTCTCTCATATACGAGTTTCTGGTTATCCTTCTGAAGGTTATTAATTACGGTCTTTTGCTTCTCAATTATCTTCCATAATTGATCGTTTTGCTGTCGCAGAAAATTACGCTCATTGATGGCCTGCTGTAATAAAGTTTCCATGCTAGGTTCATCCGGTACTGTACCTCTACGGATATCACTAGTGGAATATGATCTTGTTTGTGCCGGAACAGACATGTTAACTTATCATTTATATCGACATGTATTGTAAGTTTCGTCTTCCCACTTTATGGAGGCGGAATTTTGAATGGACGACTTGGTAGTACGAAAGGGAAGATAGGGTTTACGGGTGTATTTGAGGGGATTATGGCCTATTGTTAAAGGCAACGAGTAAAATGAATGTAAAATAGAAAGGAAAGGGAACCTGAAAGGAAGTTTAGAAGAAAGGAATGGCAAAGCTTGCAAGATTGGTGAGTTACAGATAATATACATGTGGTACACATGTGACGCTCGAAACCCGAAAGAGTTGCACGAATACTGGTGTCGTTGCGTTGTAACCATTCTGATCAAAGGTGAGGGGGAATGCGGTCTATGACTTTGTGTTCCATGAAGATATTAATAACCCCCCATTTACATAAGGAATTTAAATTAAACGTATCCAAGGCCGAGGACACCCAGTTATCAATAAAGTTGTACAACAAACAAGAACCTTAACGGAAATGATTTTTAATTTGCGGGCTTATTGACTGAAATACTTAAAAGGGATAGCATATATTATCAAATTCTAATATGTTTCTCCGCCGAGCATTAATAGAGGACGCTAATTTCTCTTAATGACCCGCACACACTCGGTACGATTCTTGTACGAGTCAATCCATAAATATACCAGAGAAATACAAGGCTGTTAGTCTTCTTACATCCTCTACGAAAGCGATAACATCAACGTATTAGATAGAGTTATGAACAACTGAAACAAGGTTATTCGTTTTTAGTTTGTCCCCCTTATACCTTCAACTTCGGCCAACTTTGCGTCTTTCTTCTCGACTATTACGTACAGTTCGAGGCCATCATGTCTCTTGCCAACTACCCAAAAGTTATTCGACGATCGTGAATAGATTTCTGTCAAATTTTGATATCTGTGTCGAAATATATTCAATAATAAATATGGGCAATATTATATGCTAAAAAAAGCAAATCTTGATGCTATTATACGGACTTTTCCATATCTTCGTGCAAGTCACATAGAACGTGCGCCATCTCTGAATTGATGGCAAGACCTTTGCCAACCGGTGAATAAATAGACGATCTTACGGCCAACGTTAACTTGTTACAAAACAAGTATCGATATTCTCTATCCACATCCGCTCTAATACATGAGAGACGATGATTTTCCGGCCCACGTCAGGAACTTGTCCTTTTGCAAATTTCCATGATGGAAAAACCATAATTTTACGTTATTAAATGTCCCACTAACCCTCTGACATACCCAGTTTTCCTCGAATGATCATTGCCCTCTTTCAAAAGATTGCTTATGCCTTCGATTTGGGTAGACAAATAATCATAAAGGGCTTGATAGAAACCCAAGCTTCGGATGTTAGTGGACATTGACGGTTTGCTACAGGGTATTAGAAAGCCGACTATAAGCGAATCATGCTACAAAAGAGGTAAACAAATCTGACGGATAAGACTTGCGGGAACTCGAAAGCGAACAAGAAAAGCAAAACAAAAAGATACATCATAATGTACCTTGTAAGCAATAAGATAATGTTCAACGTTCTCCTCTTTCGCAACGTTATTCCCAACTTGCGAACCGACTCTACGAAGGTGAACAGTTAGAGGGCTGGTATCATTTTCTTCGGAATTGATGGGTAGTCCGGTCAGAAAATTCACAGCAAGGGCAGATACTGTCGTCGAATCTG